GTGCTGCACCATGTATGTGTAGCACGAAACTAAATAGTAATAAATATGTCTAATCAAAGCTACTGTTGAACCTCTCATTTTTTGCCTTCCTGTTTACTTGTTTAGGCTGTTTATTCTAATCCCACTTAGCCTAGCCTATTGTTTCTAATCATGCTTGCATGAAATTCTCACTTTATACTATCTGGCTTTTTCAACCCTCACTCACTCGCCACTGAGGAACGACTAGTGTTGTCCGAAAGCTCTGGTTCTATTTCTGGCTGTTAACTTACGTTTACTTTTTAGCTGTTGCTTATCATTTTTGTATCTCTACTGAGATCCAGCCATTGTTTCCCACAGCATTGTTGTTTTCCAGTATTTTGCCTTTTAATCTATATATATATACTGTATATATATAGTAATATATTTAATACATAGAACATTCTAGAATTACATCTGTGACCAAGCAAACTGTGTAAACCACATTGGTAATTAAAGGAGACACACAGAAAGAGAACATGTGGAAAGCTCTAGGTTCTGAAGTATTGTTCTGAGGCAATAAGCCCATTGGTTAATTATGATTTAAGGTGACCAATAAGGAACTTAGGCAATATAGAATGCTCTTGAATGCTTTGGACTTGTACAGAGAGGGTTATATAAGCCGATAGTTTTATCTTTCTGGGGCTCTTTTTGTATAGTGTATAGTCAGGAGAAAAGGTTTGTTAGGGGAAGTTTGTAGGAGGAAAGTTAGTCAGAGAGCGAGCTTGTTAAGGAGAAAGTCTGTCAGGGGCGAGTTTGTAGGGGGAAAGATTGCAAAGAGCGAGTTTGCTAGGGGGAGAATGTTGTTCCCAAATGTGGATTCTAAAATTTCCTCTGTCATTCTCTGTTGCTTTTTTTTTTAAATTTTTTTATTTATTTAATTCTCAACCAACAGACATAAGAACCTCCACTAACAGGTTGGAGAAAAACATATACACATAGAAGGAGACAAATAATAACTAACATCAAACAACCTTACTAATTTTAAGCTTAAACGAGGATAAACTATCATAAAAAATATCAATTTCATCAGAACAACTTAAATTATTATATGTAACAGCTAATCTTTGAAATAAACCTCTCTTAGTTACGTCAACCCGACCAAATGGAACATAGATTAAGTTTCTAGTACGAGTACTGTACGACTAGGAACGTTAAATTTAAACAAAGATACAAGATTACAATCAAATGCTTGTGGATGTCCAAGGCTTACACAGTGATACACTGGGGATGACTTGCAGAGTTTAGGCCTATTGTAAACAGGACCAAACCAATACATAGAAGGATAGGCCTGGCCTGGCCTACAGTAGGAGGGGGAGAAGTCTCATTCAATATTATATTCTCTTAGTGGATTATGACCGGTTGAGCCGCCGACAAGTTGAGCCGCCGGTCATTTCTATGGAACGCCAAGCACGTCTCTCAGTGAATGTAGTGCGTTAATTGCGGCGTATTTCAATTAACTTATTCGTTCTTGGTACCTGTACGTTTGGGATGTATTTCAGTTTATTTACTCAATTATTTCAATTTATTTAATACTCGGTTTTTGCACTGATTTATTAAATATTTTTGGGACGTATTTCAATTTATTTACTTGTTCTTTCTATCGTTTTAACTTAAATTTTGTGAGTATTTGCTCAGTCAGCTTGCCAGATAGTAAAAAAAAAAACTCCATACATTCTTATCATTTATCAATAATTTAATTAAATAATTTAACAAAATAATACAAACAACGAATAAGTTAATTGAAATACGCCGCAAACCAAACGTAAATAAACACATTTTAATACGATTTTGCAATTATACAACTTCATTTATTTTTATAAAAATGTAGTACATAAAATAATTAAAATTCTAATTTTCAATTACACAATTATACATCACAAACGGCAATACGAGCAAATCAACGACTGACAAGACTGTGGGATGAATATGTAGCTGGTATCCGGGGGGTTCATTCACTGATGACATCGGCAAGCCGACTACATTCACTGAGAGACGCGCTTGGCGTTTTAGAAATTACCGGCGGCTCAACCGGTCATATCCCCTCTTAGTTAGTGCAAGGCAGTTTCGTGCACAGATTTCCATTCAGGTTGTGAACTTTGTTGTCGAGTACCAGTATCATGATGAGTGGTGGTGTGGGGGGGGGGGGCATTGTCAACCTCATAAGAAAGAGTGGACCTCTGCTCAGAGTCTCTGTAGACCCTGGCCTAGGCCTACCTATAGGCTAGGCTAGGCCTAGTAGTAGGCAAGGCTCGTCTAGCTTAACGACCACGATACACAACAACGAAACGAGAGAGGCCTGGCTGAGCTAATAAAGCCCTGTTGGCCATCATAGGGCAGGGTGCTGACTGGACTACTAACTCAGGCTGCGTAGGCCTAGCTAGGCCGCAGTATTACTAACCTAGGGCTAGGCCTAGTACAGGCCTAAGGCATAGGCCTAGCTGGAGACCGGAGTGGCAGTGGCCTAACCTAGGTCCTACGCCTAAGTTAATGAAACTAATTACACCCGTCAACTCACCGTCCCGAATATTTCTTGTCTGTTCCCCCCTGATCGGCTTTATACTTCCCACTATTTTGAAGAACCATTTCTATTTAATGCTTTACACAAATGATATTAACCATAGGAGGCCTATCCTTGGCCTACACAGTTACATAGCCCTCTTAAGAAACACAACTAGCTTTGTTCTTGGCGCGGAATGAAGAAGTCAAAGTTCAAATACACGCTTGAATAATTATTCAATATTCACCATAACGTAAGATCCGCCCTTTTTAAAATACCAATAAGGAAACGCCATAATTCAGATTGTAAGTCAATCGTGACGTAATCACCGTAACTCCCAATGTTATTTTCCTATGAAAAACAGTATAAATCAAATGAATATAAAGAAGTTGATATTTAAACTGTCAATGAATTACAGGTCAGAACGCTTCGGTTTCTCTGATTTACAGACATTTAAATTCTTCAATAAATTACCAATGGATTAGTAATGGCTTAGTTTATGCAGACAGATCTTAAATAATTCCAAAATCTTTTTTTTTTATCACCATACACATCCCGAGCCTGGGAAATATTTTTTCTACTAACCGACCCGGCTGACTGAACCTTATCGCTTTTCATTCTAAATGTCAATGAATTACAGGTCAGAACACTTCGGTTTCTCTGATTTACAGACATTTAAATTCTTCAATAAATTACCAACCAAAGGTTCTATGCAAAATACTGTTTAAATTAATAAGTCCGATAATTTACGATCAATTTAGTTTCGCTTATTCTAATAAGTAAAAGATACATGGGTAATGGATTAGTTTATGCAGACAGATCTTAAATAATTCCAAAATCTTTTTTTTATCACCATACACATCCCGCGCCTGGGAAATATTTTTTCTACTAACCGACCCGGCTCACTGAACCTTATCGCTTTTCATTCTAAAAAAAACCCCAAAAAATCCCAGCCTTGACAAACATAATTGAAAAAGTACCACAATGATACTCAATATCCTCTTCAAACATTTAATCTTATTGAGAGCACGCCATCATACAAATGAAGTATATAGTTTTTGACTGTGATTGACTGACCCTGACGGACTTTCTTTGTGACTGTGGTGGCGTATTCTATCAAGGAGTATTACGTAGACATTGTAGACATAAATGATAAACGATGGTCTCTAAAGAACAACTTGTATTTCCTCTTTAATTGTCTCAGGTATATCGGTATATGTTTCCAATATGCAGGACTTGGAAAATTTGGTGACTTCAAGTATTCCAGAAGGAAGAGAGAAACTTGTCAAAAACTCTTTAAATCTTAACGAAATAGCAACGAAAAGCGAGAATGATTTCAAACAGGTAGGCGTGATGATACTTTTTAGTGATATGACAACTTTTTTTTATCTATACGTTATGATGATCATATCATTGTTAATATTCTACGTCAGTTAAAACATCCATCAGAATTCCCCTGAGGGAACTTCTTTTCTCAGCAAGTCTGTCAGATGGAACAGATATGGTACTAGCTAACAGTATCAGCAGGTGACAGCGTCAATAAATATACAACATATACATTAATCTATAGGATCAAAGCTATTATTTTAATAGTTCATAATAATGTCTGCTCTTAATGTTAGGATGCCGTAATAGACCTATGGATATACACCATTGCTAGCCTATTGTCTTGGAAGTGTTTAACTTTGAAATTTGATGTGTTTTCAACGAGGTCACACTATGTATATACTTAGACCCACTAATACTAAAACAGGAACAGAATCCTGTTGCACGGTTTAGTGGTTGTTCATCATGGAAGGCTATTCATGTCTTGGAAACCGCAATTCAGTTGCAAATGCGGAAAACTGGTGGTTCGACGCTTTTATTATATTATACTAATCATCCGTTACAGTTGTTGTTCGAAACACCATACCGTAAACATGAGACGTACGGTATATGGCAATGACTATCACTGTAATTCTTTCACTCCATTAATAGTTGTCGATTGTAGAATCATAAATAGGCGTAGCCCTATCTATACTATAGAAATATGAAATGATATTTGATTCTTAATCAAAATAAAGAAATTACGGACTTTCGGAGGATCGGCAGTGCCTTACATAGACTTCAAGGCAGCGGCGGGCGACCGGTAATAAAAATAAAGAAAAACTTTTTTTTTTTTTTTCTGAAATTTTCACTATTTCGTGGCGGCGGGTGCGCTAATTGGCCAAAGCTAAAATTTTATTTTTATTTGAAATCATCAATATTGCTGGGCGGCGGGTTCGCCCAGCAATAAAGCCTCGTCTAAATACTTTCTTTCCACTAACTCGCACTCACAATGGTGATTGCTCTCAACGTTAATATTATTATAAAGGTAACATACAGTCATGACATGAAACACGAACTACTCTATAAGATGTCAATATATTTGTTATACGATTTTTTTTTATTGGTTTACCTTTCTTGTTTCTAAAGAAACTACCTCAGTATTTTACTTAAGGCCTAAGGCCTACCTTTACTTTATTTGTCGGTGGATCATAGATTGGAGGTAATTTATAGAAAAAACCATGAATTTAAAAAACATAGATGACTTGCATTTGACGTCACATTACATACTGTAAGGTCAAAAGTTTACCCTCCCAATTAATCATTTGTTTTGTTTAAAATTCTACAGGCCCGCAGTAAAGACACTGAGAAAGCTGTTGTGGAGCAGACAAAAAACTGTGTGACGCACGCGTTGGCAAGCGTGGCGCAGCAAATCAATAATCTGGTATTTGACATTAACAAGCTTATTGAGGAAGAATCTCGCGAGATAACAGCTTTACAATATGAAGTGAATCAACTTGAAATGGTAGGCACACATATCTATTTTTATTTCTTTTAGTTGAATCATACCGTGTGTGTGTATATATGTATATAGGCATATCTGTCTCTTATACACATCTAGATGTGTATAAGAGACAGGGCCTACACAGTTACATAGCTGACTCGTTGCTTCAATTCCTTGTTTTAACGTCTTTTATATAATTTCAAGAACACACGTGGATTTATGACGATATATATATATATATATATATAGGCCCTATATATATACATATATGTATGTATATGTGTATATGTATATATGTATGTGTAGGCCTATATGTATATAATTATGTGTATATATGTATATATATATTGTTTTAAGAATTGCATGGCGAATTAATAATGTATATATATACATATATATGTATATAAGTATATATGTATATGTATATGTGTATAGGTCTACGTATATATGTATATGTATATATGTATATATGTATATATGTGTATATGAGTATATGTATGTATGTATATATGTATATATATAGGCCTATATATATATATATATATATATATTGTTTTAAGGTTTGCATGGCGAAGTAATAATATATATTAATGCTTGCGGTACAACCAATAACGACAATATATTTGTATATACATAAATGTATATTTATGTTTCAAAACAAGATATGAAGCGAATATGAATATATATATATATATATATATTCGTATATACATAAAGGTATATAAATTTTTAGTTATTGTCTGTTATATATTTCCTTGCTATAATTTGCAGAAAGGGAGAGCTTTCGATTCAAAACAAGATATGAAGAGACTGTCTCAATTCATCTCATATAAATTCAAGGAAGGCAACAAGCGAAAGTCCAGACGATGCAAACGTGTTCGGCACTCAAGGCACAAATATCACTCGACAGCCATTGACTATAGTGTGCTGGATAAGGTTGGCCATGGTATGGTATTTACACCTCCAAAGTCTAATGTATTCAACCCCTCATCCATATATGAACCACCAAGCCCTGGACCCCATAACCATACCAAGAAGTTTTCAATCGCAGATCCAATCTGGAAGTCCCCGATTGAAATCGCTAACAAATCTAAAAAAAATGAACCAATCTACGATTTTAAAGTCACAAATAGCACATCGAGTATCTCTAATCTCGGAGTCGGAGAAAGCATTTACAGTGATATGTCTGTCGTAGAGAGCTTTTCCACATCCAGCTCGCCTTCATCGTTACGTCTTAGACTCGAGTCCGATTCTTCTGATTTTGTCCAAACTCCAAAACGCAAAGTATCAAAATATTTTATGTTCATGAAATCAAATGAAGGCGAATATGCTAATTTCAATGAATATATAACCGGCACAAGTATGGAAAACCAAAACGCATCCTCTTCAGAAGGTTCAATCAAAAATTCCCATGACCCTATGGTAGATGATGAACCGATATACTCTGAACCACCATTGGAAAGCGATGTTACACTAGCATTAAAAGAACTTGATGAGGCTACTAACGGAAATGAATACATCTTAGACAAATTCTTGTCACGAAACAATTCGAAAATGAGCCAAATAAACCAACCCCGATCAATTCCGCATCGGCCTCCAATTAAGCCGTACATACACTCAGTTTCCAAAGCGTTAGACAATGAAGAGCCTCCGCCTCCAACTACTGCACCGCCTCTTCCACCAACTACAGCACCGCCTCCGCCTCCGCCTCCGCCTCCATCTACATCACCGAAACCGCTTCCATTTACAGCACCGCCTCCTCCGCCATCTGAGCCCAGTAAAAGACCTCCTTCGTCGGTAATTCATCCTGTGACTCCCAAACCAGAAGGCTATGACAGAACGACACCTGGTAAACAGTTGGGCATTCTTTTACATGAACAAGTTAGTATAATTAAAGAAAATTTAAAGCCGATTACTCCTGTAAAGTGCCCCCAGAAATATGTATCTGCTGACGACGATGCAGTTAACGACATTGCTACACAGATATCAAAACGCATGTCTTTGAAACTAGAAGAATCAGGAAAAAAATCCGAATCAACTTTACCAAGCAAAAAAGAACTATTCATAGCACAGCCGGAACCTCGTGGACCTCCTCCTCCTGTTGCACCTAAAAAAAGGCCTCCACCTACAAAACCAAAAAAGCCGCGTCCTATTTCCGAAATTGGTTCATCATCGATAAACTCGAGACAGGAATGCCCTTTAATTGAAAACGTAAATACATTACGTACCTGTGTAAACGATACACCGAAGATTCCAGTTCCACCGAAAACAAAACCCAAACCTAAAAATCGGTTTTCAATGACTGAATAAGATGCCTATTTGTTACTATACTATTACTACCACCCACCACAATCTCCATTACCACCAACACCACCACCACCACCATTATCAAAACCACAATGCACCACCACCATGTTTAGCCTTTTTTATTCCTCAATATTTATATTGTTATATAGGCCTATAGCATAGCATATGTTACTTTTAATGTGGGTCTAAATTATATACAAATTAATCAGACCCATCAGAAAATGACACGTACCGTTAACGAAAAACGCAAAATCGAATTCATCAAATTGCTTTATTGTAGAACCGTACGCAGTGTTATAATACTGTATTATTTGGATCATGTAATAATTCCAATGTCACCCTCGCGCGAGCACATTAATTAATAAATAATAAATTGGTAATATATTGTTAGCATTCGTCAATAATAAGAGTAACAGTGACATAAGATGAAACAAACAAAAGAAGTATTATAAACACAGTATAGGCATATTCTATATTTAATTGATTCTCATTTAATCGTGAGTGACTTGGAAGTAAAGTTTTGTTGAATTCACTCTTGTTTGGCAAACTTTGAACCGAGCTGTTAATGCAACTAAGACTAGCCTTACTGTATTTTGAAATGAAATGTTCATAATGTAATCGATCTAGTGTATAGTGGGAATTCATCACACTAAAGCCGGAAGGTCGTCGGCCGATTCCATGAAGAACGCAACGCGACGACGTGCGCGCAACGGATCCTTTTAATGATGATTCGTTCAGACCACTGCCGCCGACAGTCAGCAGACGGCGTCGCGTCGTCTATCGCTCACGGGGAGCGGAGTTGAATTCGTCGTGCGACGTTCGTACGACCGTCGTAGGACGCAGTGAGTGCCCGGCTGTTCTGTACGTGATGATCATGTTTTTCAAAACAATACGGAATTTTGTTTTAAGTTAGAGTAATTGTTTTCAACACATTCTGTTATTATAATATATTCTGAAACAATATAGGCCTACTTTTAATTACATTTCAGTACAACATTGAGAATGAGGTGGTAGAATCCACATGTAGGCCTATTTAGCTTGTTCTTAATTTAACACAACATGGTAGTAAGATCTGTATGTTTTAGTAATTAAATTTATCGTCATTGTTATGTAAACTAAACATAGCATTTAAAATAGCAAAATCCTTCACTTTAATAATTTACGATAATCTACCTCGTTCTCTTGGTGTATATCATACTATGTTGTTCTCTATTACAATATAATTATGGTATTAGACAAATACAAAGGGGAAACTTAATATATCAATAGTTTAAACCAATATCGGCAAATCATGTTTTCCATATATGGTGGAACTGGCCTATCTAAAAATGCTTTTGCAGCTAGTTACAGCTTATATAAACTGAAAATATACCTTTATTCATTGAATTATAACCCATTTTATTATAATTATATTCTGATATATTATTCTGGCAACATTTCATTTACAGTATCAAAATTTAGTTTTATGTAATTATAATTTATGATAATTAATTATGTGCTTAGGTCTGGGCTCAATCAGTTGTGCTATTGTTGCTCCACTAATCTACAGTTGAATTATTGTTATGAAACTAATGGGTAATAAAGAAAAAGTCATTTCACTACTAGTCAATTTTACGAGTTTTTAAAAGTACATTCGAGTCGATTCATCACTTTTCTCATAATTATATCTTGACTGTTTAATCTTCTTCCAAATTTTAACCATGCTTTCATCTTTAACATCGAATTTTGGAAGGTCGAAGTCTCGCTTTCTTGGGTTATCTAGGCGATAATGTACAAGTCTAAGGTCAGTTCTTGGATTAGCAGATCGAGTTTCTCCGCCAAGTTTTATAGCATGAATTTTAAAATAATGTACGTTCTTTGGTTGGAGTATATTCTTGTCGCGGCCTATATTCTGTTCAGTAGGATCCGATGAGCGCCAACGATTACGCTCAATATACGTGGAGGCTTCGACCGTGGAGTTTTGTGGTCGTCCAAAGAACCAATTCTGCACCCGTATGGAACCTAGTTTCTCGTAGTCTAAGTCAGCCAGATAGTCTGAAATTTTAGGTCTAGTTGGATCCATAGGTTGTATATATTCATCCACATCTATTTTTATCATCCATTTTGTGTCATGTTTATGTCGCCAAATACAGTCATTCTCGTGAGCGACCTGTATTTCTAGATATGTTTTCTCCTTGGATGGCTCATGAGCCCATGGAATAACTGTTACGATTCCTTGCTTTATATACGTAGTTACTGTCTCAGGCAGTGTACTGTCACGTCCATTCTGGTTGTCATATAAATAGAAATGCTCTACACCCATAAAATTGTGGTAATCAATCCAATCAGGAACAAACTCATCCACATCATTAATCATTGTACACGCGGCTAAAAACGTTTGTTTAGGCGGTAAAACATTAGCAGAACAGACGGTAAAGTTATCGTAGGAAAAATCGTTCTTTATAGGGAAAGGAACAACTCGTTCTAGTGACATAGTGAAGTTAGTTTGAAGAATATATTGGTCCGGTAAAGAACATGTTATCACAACCACGTACTGTGCTAAAGCTCCAAAGCTTCTAAAATCATTGACTATCGGATCTGAAACAGTAGCATCACCATTCTCAAACTTGCATATAAATGTATTTTTATGCCATGTGTCATGAAGTAATTTCACACCAACCATAACGACACTCTTAGACACAGGGTCCGAAAATATGGAATGAAGTGTTGGCATGTCACCCTTTGCAAGTTTATTCCTGAAGAAACACATTTTGTTCCGCGGTAACGAATACGTATATGCTGACGCGTTTCGTCTAATATCCAATACGGTGTTGTATTCCCGAATGCGTTTCATCTTTTTATCGGACGCTTTCTTTTCACGTTGTAACTTCTGTACCTGTTCAGTTAAGGTACCGATCTTATGGTTATAGTAAATGATAGTTGCAATGAAAATGATAATAAAAAGTATAACAACTCTCCAGGCGTTCCTTGGGCCATCACGATAACCCAACAGGCGGCAGAGCAACTTGCTACGTCCCATCGAATTTCACAAGCAAAGTTATCGTCTGTTAATCTGTTTAATATCTGGATAAAGAAACATAGAATATATCAATAAGCCATGTGCATCGTTATTATCATTATTATAGTCTTTATCTTTATCATTGTCATTATTATCATATCAGTATTATCATCATAATTATAATTATTACCGTATATTTCTGAATTTTTCTTTTTAGCCAGTTGTCAATGTTGTAATTAATTTGTTATGATTATCAATATTAGGCATACTATAGACTCTGAACGTCAATAATTATTTATTATTATCACCATTTAATTTTACTATTAATATTTATTGTATAAGATATATCATTTTTAGTGTATTATCATATTAATATTTTATTGGTAAGGGCTACACTATTATCATTGTAATTTGTAGAATTTATTATTGTTTTTGAGCCTTAGTACCGGTATTATTTTAACATGAATTGCAATTCAATTCGGTATCATTCAAGGTATTAACTCCACCATTTGCAGCATTAATATAAAAGGTCATTCCAATAAAATCTTAACGATATATTTTCCGTGTTTTTTTATATCAGCACAGTTAAGAATATCCTTTTATTAAATCTAGATTATATATTCTTGTTTGATCGATTGAGGGAAGACTTCACACAACTTAAAATATACCCCAACATTACACATGTTACACAAATACCATTACGTTACACTCATACGCCAAAATTGGCAAAGGTTCATACTGAAAACAAGAAAATATCGATTAATATTTTTTTTCTCAGCCTACTTTGTACTGTATGAATGTTGGCTGATATTCAGGGCCCCCATAAGTAAATGAAAAATGTGATGCTTTAAAAACTAAGTCACATTAAGAGGTTTAGGGAGTGGAGATGTAATTATTTCTCTTTATTGCATACAAAAGAACAAAAAGAATACAGGTACGATAGTACCAAGAAAATAGGAGCCAATAGGAGCCAAGAAAAATAGCCAAAGCTAATCGAGCTTGAGCCCTTTTCAAATTAAACATTAATACAATACATATGATAAAATATAAATTAATAGTATTAAAAAATGTAAAAGGCATCATACTTAATATTCATTAAGCAAAATGTTTTTTTGTTCTTGAGGTGGTCTCTTTCAACTCAAATGGCAAGGAATTCCACAATTTAGCACCAGTATAAGAGATTCTGAATTGACCTAAATTGGTTCTGCAGTTGGAATTAGCTAAATTATAATCACTGTTAAGTCTTGTTCTATGGGTATGGTTAATGTTACTAAAGTAGTCTGTTAAAGTATGTGGCAATCTATTGTTAAAAAGGTCAGAGATGAAATTTAAAATAAATAATTTATGTAGTTTATATACGGTATGTCTATAGAATTCGAAGATTATAAAATAAAGGTGCAGAATGGGTTTTATGATCTGAAAATGTAATACATCTAACACATATTTTTTGAGTGCGTAAAAGTATTTGTTGGTGTGAATTGTATGTGATGCCCCATACCTCAATACCATAAATCAGATTAGGTAATATAAAAGAATTATAAAGCATAATGTTTCCTCGATGATTGAAAACACAGGACTCAGAGAATGGAAGACAAGCATCTTAACACAATAGCTACATCTTCACTCTTACGTTTCACGTAGGCACTACATACCCAAAGGCTGACAAGCTGTCACATTGAAGCACTTAGGTAAATTGCTAGGCCTACTCAATTCATCATTGAATTGAATTGAATTGAATTATCAAACAATGCGGTAGATAGCTAGGCTGAGTACTGTGCCCTGCGTAAATAATATAGTATAATAAAAACATATGCTAAACTTACTCATTCATATTAATTTCCAAACACCAACAAATAAAATCAGAGCTATTGGATTTCTTGCGTTCGAAACTAAGTTATTGTCGCTCACAACATAACCGGATGTTTGCGAACGTTGTTTTCTCATACAAATTTTGAGACGGTCAATTTGTTTAGACGTCGCCATTATTGATTAACTCTGTTGTCCGACAATGAAATTCTCTTATTGTTAAGTACAGTACTGGACGTAAAACTATTGAAGCCCTCAAGTTTTCGCACCATCTATTGTCCATTAACGAGATTATTCATGGTTTTTCTTTCGTTGGTAAGTGTAGTACTGTAGGCCTATAACGGGGAGTTGAGGGAAAACTTTACACCATGGGTTTAGGATCCATTATGTGTTTCAAGATGGAGAAGGGATGAGCATATTATTTTATAACCTGCCACCTAGAACAGGACTACTAGGTGGTACGTGTTAAACCAAATTGGTTCGACAAATGACCGGTTGGGATTGTCTCCAGGTCTTGTAGGCCTATCTGTTGGGTTCGGTCCATGCGATGGTACATTCGACTGCTTCTCAGTAATTGACCTATGCCTATTAAATAATAGGCCTCAGTATAATATAACTAAGTCAATATTATACATTTGAACTGACGATAACTAAGTCGTTGAATATAATAATAAGCCTCAGTATAATATAATCTGTTTTGGAGTACTGAATACCAAAGTTGGACCAAGCTTGTATCTTTAACTATAAATTTAGGCAATTTAAAGTAAAGAAAACTAAGTCGTTATATATTATAATTTTGAAGTGACGAAAACTAAGTCGTTATATTATACCAGTAGGCCTCAGTATATTATACAGTAAAACCCCTAATAAGGGGACACATCCTCTTAATAGGGGTGTCAATTGAATAGATGTACCCCTATTCAGGGGACACTAACACAAAAACGTGAAATTGTCCCCATAATACGGGTTTTTGGCATGTTTTCGTATAATGGTGACAAGATGCTTTATAATTTTATTTTAATTGACCTAGGAATGAGTTACAGTTTGATTATAGCTAATTTATAACAATAATTTACAATGCAAAAAATAATTCATTTAAGATATGAAATTAACAGATATGTAATTAAAACTACAAAATTTGTGTATGTTCCCGCTATTGTTTCTTTATTCGAGTGCAGTGTTAATGACTAAATATTTATTTATTTATTTTTTAATATTGAGCTTTCTACTGGATGCACAAGATAGAATAGACCCCTACTATTAACAGATATTACCAACTTAAAAATCAGGGTGTAGGCTGTCAGGATAGATTAGAATCTTAGAATCCTATATCAAAATACACAAAATAAGAAATCTCCATGGTTAATGGCCAAAATTGACAAGATTTTATTTATACGAAGTAACACGTAGGTATCCAATGTCAATTCTAAGGATGGAAAAAAATCTGGTTTGATGTTTAGTTTATTGCTCAAAAAGTGTAAAAATATAAGTTTGAATGATTTTTTCCTTTTGTGACTACTGTAGTTGTTTTGATACAATAAAAAAAACTGTCCCCTGATCAAATTCAATTGTATTAATTTGACCATTTTGCACAATCAAAAAGTGTTGCCGTCCCTTTAATAGAGGTGCCCCCTTAATAGGCAGGACCGGATCCAGAAATGTCCAAAAGGGGGGGGGGGGCGGAAATGTTTGTGTTCTAGACGCCCGAACATAACATTTGAGGCATTCTGGGCTATCATTTTTTCTTTTTCTCTCTTTTTTTTCTTTTTTTTTAACCTCTCAAAAGGGGGGGGGGCGGGGCTGCCCCCCTAAATCCGCCCCTGATAGGGGTTGTCTGAGAATTCGTTTTGGAGCACTGAATACCACAGTTGGACCATACTTGTATCTTTGACTATAAATTTAGGTAATTTGAAGTGACGTGACCGCGGATTGTCACCACGGTAATGTACCAATCTCATTTCTTTAAATGGATTTAATGATTTTAATTCACCTCCTAATTTTATGGCGTGTATTTTAAAATAATGAACATTCATTGGCCGCAAAATGTTTTTGTCATGCCCAATATTCTGTAAGCTTGGTTTTTTCGATCGCCAAACATTCCTTTGAATTATATTTCCTTCTGGATTAAGTAGCTTTGGTGGTCGTCCGAAAAACCAATTTTGAATTCTAAGTCCACCTAAGGAGTAAAGTTTTGGATCCGTCAGATAGTCAACGATTTTAGGTCTTGAAGGATCCATTGGCTGAATGTATTCATCGACGTCTGTTTTTATCATCCATAATGCGTCATGTCGATGCCGCCATAAACAGTCGTTCTCATGAGCGATCTGTATCTCAAGATATGTCTTATTTGGTGACGTCGTGTGTGCCCAGGGAATAATAGTTACAAATCCAGAATTTATAAACGCCCTCAATGATTCGTTCATCGAACTTTGTCCACCACTGTCTGCATTGTCATAAATGTATACATGCTCCACACCCATATTCCTGTGGTACATTAACCATGGGGGTATAAATTCGTCCACCTCTTTCACCATTGTACACATCGCAAGGAAATGCTTTTTGGCTGCTCCTGACTGACAGATTGTTAGGTTTTCATACGCTTTGGTCTCCACTACACTGTTTACGCCGCCAACGTCCACATAATCAATACTTGAGATGTTCTCTGGTAATACTCGAAGATTAATCTTGAAACTCGATCTTGTTTGATATTTCTCCGGCAGTGGGCATGTTATTATCACTATGTACTGAGGAAGCCATCCGAAACTCAGAGTGTCTGCTAAAATAGGATCATTTTTAGTAATTTTTCCATCGGGGAATTCACAAATAAATGTTTGAAAATGCCATCTCTCTTGTAATAACTTTAAACCATTGAATGCAACATATTTTCCTATGGGATCCGCAAAAAATGAATGTAAATTTGGCAACCCAAATTTTTGTAATTTATCCCTAAGATAACATGAACTGTCTGGTGGATACGTTACTGTGTATCGTGACTTGTCCAATTGAAATTCTCCAATTTCTCCTTCAATAAGGTTCCGAATGCGTATATTTGCCATGTCTTCACTAAGCTTCACATCGTGTGTATTAGCGTCATCTTCTACAATGTCATGCTTTTTCGAATAAATAGGGCTATAATATAGGAAAAGCAAAATGCCGAGTACTACAGCAGCGATAGCGGTGATAGGTCGACTTTTTCTCATACTGTTCTTAATCTAATACGAAAGAAATGATAAAGATGTTGAAAATCATCGAGTTAAGCCGATCAATAACACGGTTAGGCTGTAAAGAATGTGTTGAAACATGTCATTATTCTATGATTGAAATTACAGATGGTAACATTGTGTCAAAAAAATGTAAAATAAAATAACATTCATGATGTTTCGTATTTATTATTCTCTTATAGTCTCAAACTAGTATTCTAATAGCCGCACGAACATTAATGTGATTCCGAAATATGTGCCATATTTTCCAATATAATCTATTAAAATTGGTTTTTCCTTCTGCAAACTATTATAGACCTCCCTAAAAATAGATAAATTACTTTTTTTTAACTTTTATTTAAGCCTCGGAATAAAAATGAACAAGTTACGATCTCGATCAGGTAATTTCAATATATTTATATTAACAGCTAAACATACCTTTGCAATGTGAATCACTCCATATTAAGTGAGAACAGGAAACATCATTGTTCATTTATTAACCTTAAGTTCGATGTAGTTTGCTTCTTGGCTGACCTGAGACTATGGTACTTCTTATACAATTAAATGTGTGTGTGTGTGTGTGTGTGTTACTGGGACCTCACTGTGTTTACACTCCTCTTCAGTTGATTACAAAGGTATACAATTACGGACCAATATGATTCAAGTCATATTGATTCTAGCAATGACGTTAGAACCAAGTATTCTTTGGCAAGAACTTATGTGGCAGTCCAGTGTACACATCTGCCTTAAAAAGCCCATTGGAATGATCTGGAAACACTGCTCTAAGCGCCTCTCTACAGATGCTCACTAAGAGTCGTCACGGACCACGCAACAATTCAGCGCAATGGGTTGCTCTCCTACCTTTACTTTTAGGCTACTAAAAATGGCTTCACTTTGAAATCCTAATAAAGTTTATAAATCAACGAACGAAGGAGTGAATTATACAGAACTATATTTCAAACAATTTCATTAGCATATATTTTAAAACAAGATTTTTTGCTGCATTTTGTTTATATAATGGATCAATACCGACTGAATTGAATTAAACAGAAAAACAAAATACACAGGCCTATATCGGGCCCGTAGCGTGACTTAATTTGTGAGAGGTTCGTTTCAGTGGAAAGTGGACCATTCGGCTTGAATGATCTCCGATACTCTGGAGAACATTGTAAATATATCTACGAATATCATTTTTTCGTTTTTAAATGCGGACCTTCTCCAGTTTTTGGGCGGTTCGTCTAACCCCCTTAACCCCTCACCCAAGCTACGGGCCTGCTATATATTACATCTAAATAATGTTGCAAATGGTGCTCTGTCCAGATTGTGAAAAAATTTGTTGACAAAAAATTGTTTCATCACATCAAACACCTCGCCGACAACATATCACTCCTGTTCTCTCTCTCCCTCTCTCTCTCTCCCTCTTCACTGGCTTCCTGTCACCAAACGAATTTCTTACAAAATATTATTTTTCATTTATAAAACTCTACATTGTCAGGCGCCTTACTATATTTTCGATGTTACTCAGTTACGCTTCCAAACCTGCTATCGTTCACTTCGATCCACGTCTAGCTCTTCTACACTTTCTACTCATATTTGCAAGCTAAAGTCGTACGGTGAGCGCTCTTTTAATGTCGAAACTCCTAGACTCGGGAACTCATTAATATAAGTAAATCTCCTTCCATTTTCCTATTTATTGCCAAAAACTCATCTTTTCTCATCCATCTAATTGGTTTTCTTTTTGTTGATCGTGTTTTTTTTTTTGTTTCTTTTTTCTTTGTCTCTTCTCCATCTTATTTGTTTCTTTTATTTAACTTCTTTTGGACATTTGTTGAAAGCGCATAGCGACCTAGTATTATGCGCTTTACAAATCTACATCCACTAACATTACCATATATAGTCATGATGTGCCTATATATAATATGGTTTTGATGTTACATCATCATGACCATATTTAGGCAATGTCAACAAATATAGCCTTGGGAGGGCTTTACACTATCGTTTGTTTTCGTTGGGAAGCTTTTGAATTAATAAATTAAAAGAAAAATCTTTAGTGAATGAATAAATTTCTTCTACAAGAGAGAAATGACGCACATAATCAACATTTTTCGTCATATTAGATTGTAATCGCTTGTTGTCGCGAGTTTGCAAGAACGTATCTTGTATATGATACTTGTTCGGCATTAGGTGTATAGTCATATCCTGACCAAAATCAAACTTCCCTGATATTTTATAGGTAAAATAAGAGTTCAGATTCAGTGCATGTTGTCGTAATAACATCCATTCCCATCGTGAATACTGCGTGTCCTGTCTGTAACGTCACTGTCTACGATTATTAATAAACTGAGTTGGATTTATGAAAATTAATTTCAGAAATTCCGATTGATGGTTACATAACTATATGTTGTTATACGGTGGTATTTCATTGTTGGCTCAGTCTATGTCGATTACACTGGTATAATTGAAGAAGAGTTCAGCACTACAATAATAGGTCTATGATATAATAGGTATATTATGCCACTATTCTAGTAAAACCGATAGGCCTACATTTCATAAGGTACGTACAAGTCTTGGCACAGTTATGCAGATCGCGTGTTACTTATGAGGCGCCATCTGTTAACTTATTATTTAGCAAAAAATAACATGGCTTTTTACGTTATATATTTATATATTATTTTATATAATATATAATATTTTATATAATATATAATATTTTATATAATATATAATATTTTATATAATATATA